AAAAATAAAAAAAAAAAAAAAAAAAAAAAGGAGATGACAAAAACCATGGAGGAACAGGGATCTAGAGGCCCACACTACAATGTCTCCAAGTCTGTGTGACAGTCCAGCAACCTGCTGCTGGCAGGAAGACAAAGTCCAGAGGAGAAAGCCCACAGCTCACAGAACAAGGACCAGCCCGAGCAGGGATGGCAGGCCAAGGCGGGGGAACAAAAGCTGTGTAAAGAGCAGGAAGAAGCCTGCCAGCTGAGCCAGGGTCTCCAACATGCTCTAAGCGCCTTGCCAGCACCAGTGAAGTCGCAGGAGTGAGCAGTAGTTGTGGAGTGCAGCTCCTACCAGTGAGGGAGAGGCCGACCCCATGGCCTGAGGTCAGTCACGCATACATCGAGCAGTCCCCTCACGAGTCCAGGAGGGCATGGAAAACCCTTTTCTGGCCAGGAACCATCACTCCATGATTAGACCTGGCTCTAGCCCTGAGAGCAAGGGGCTTAAGGCAGGGGTGGGCTGGGGCTGTCCCCTAGCTCCAGCTTCACTGCTTTCCTGAGATCTGCAGGGCACCTGGCATGGCACACCTGGGGCCTGGCTGAGGCGGCCTCTTTTGAGGTGGGGGTGTAGAGAAAAGCCGCTGGAGAATCATTAACTCTAGGAATGGCCCTGGCCTACAGGCCAGGGAAGCCAGAAGTCCTTGGGAGGGGCCTGGCGCATGAGTGCCGGGCTTGTCCACAGTGGGACACATCAGCTTCCCCGGGGAAGCACTCCTGGAGAAAGTGTTCCGGTGGTCTCTCAGAGGAGACCCCTAAGGTTCTTCTAACAGGGAAACTGAGGCCAGTGGGAGTGTCCCCCAGGACACCTGTCCAGACATCATGTTCTCCAAAGGAGGCACTTCAGCACACTGCAGCTTCCTGCCCGCACGGCTTTGAAGGCAGGCAGGGGTCGGGCCAGGTCCCAGGGCCTGCTGAAGGAGAATCAATTCACATTCCCTCAGGAGGCTGTGCTGGAAAGTCTCAGCCAGAGGAAAGAGGTTGAAGGTTCGGAAGGCAAGGCCAGCTGCATGGTTGGCACTGGGATGGTGGGGTCTGCACCCTAAAGGCACCAGTACCTGCTGGCTCACCTGTGGGGTTGATTCCAGTCCAAGCTTGGCAGGGCCACTGCCAGGCCTACACCTATGAGCCCCTGCAGCCCCTGACCTTGCAGGTGGCCAGTATGCACCCGCCTTGCAGCAGCCATTCTGGGATCAGGGGTTCAGCCCCCAGCGCGGCTGCACTGTTGGTGCGTCGAGCTCGGTGGTTTCATCAGTGCCGCACTGCATGTTACTTTAAAAATGGCAGTACCTCCAAGGAGGGGAAGAAAATGCCAGTAGCCAGGTGTGGCACACACCAGTAATTCCAGTACCCTGGGAGACTGAGGCAGGACTGCAAGTTTCTCAAATAAATAAATAAGTAAAAAAAATAAGGGCTGGAGATGCAGCTCAGTAGGAAGATCCTGGGTTCAATCCTCGGTACTCCCCACAAAAAAAGTGCTGGTATCTACACAGGGAAATCACCCATCCTAACTGCAGGACTCACTTGGCTGCTTCATACGAGGGCCTGCTGTGCTTTGAGGGTTGCCACCAGCTGTGGGGTCCCAGGACAGGCCCCACCCAAAGGGAATGCATGAACGTCTGCAGGCCCTCAGCTGGCCTGACGAAAGGATGGCAAGGAGTTGGCTGAGCTGGGGAAGGCCCAGGCCACACCACCACAGGTGGCCCCTCACGCGACCTGCCGAGGACAGGACTCCACACACCAGCCTCAACAGTGTATTTTCCTCAGCAGCCACCAGACGGGCTCATGGGGACTGGCTAGCTCCAGAGTGGCCTCCGGGCTCTGTTCAAGCTGAAGCAGCAATCCCTCCCCAGCACTGTAGGTCCATCTCGCCCCTCCCAGGCAGACAGGGCCACTAGTGCCAGTTGCTGCGGCCCTCTAGGCCCCTGCCCAGGAGCCTGGTGCTGGGAGCGGAGCGGGCCAGTATGGGTGGGCAGGGCCTCACCCAGGTCCCAGGCCTCCAGTCCATAAGTCCTCAGCGCTGGGGCTACTCTAGAACCACGGTGCCGCCCACTGCTTCCAGGGCTGCCTTTATCTTCTCGGCCTCGGCTTTGGCGACATTGGCTTTGATTTCCTGGGGTAGGGACTCTACCAGCTTCTTTGCCTGCCAGAGAAAGTAAAATCAGAAGGGGGTCCTTGGCTGCCAAAACCGAGGCTCCCCTAAGAGCAACTAGTGCCTAGAAGCATCAGCATGTGCTGGTGGGGAGGGCGCCCACCTGGACAAGGTTGATGCCCTGGATGTAGTTCTTGACCTCCTTGATCAGCTTCACTTTATCCACAGGCTTTGCCTCTGTCAGGCGGACAGTGAAATGTGTCCGTTCCTTCTGTTTGGGGAGTTCCTCCTCCTCTACTTCCTGGGGAGCAGAAAAGGGGCGCAATGAGCAAGGAAGGGGTGAGCTGACACACTCGCTGTGGGCTGCTCTGCCTGCTGTGGCACGTCGCAAGGCCAGGTGGGTCCCGTGTCAATCCTAAGGCCCAGCAGTGCGTATCTCCCATCAGCACAGCCAGGGTTCAGACAGGGCTGTTTCGCCTTCCCACCATGTGCGCAGACACGTGCCTCCCACCCGTTGCAATTCTACTTTTCTCATTCCCTAAGAACTGTTAACTTATGAAACAGAGGGGAGCAATACAAAAGTGCTTTGTAGATAAGTTATGGAAAGCAGTGCCACTCAACTCTCAGAAAAGCACAAGCACATGTCAGTGATCAACACTCCATCTCTTTCTTTCTCTCAGAGGTCCCACTAAGTTGGTCAAGAATTCCTCCTGCCTCTGCCTCCCCAGTGCCAGGATTCTAGCTGTACACCACTGCACTCCACTTCTGACAACCCAGCAATTGCGGACGGATGACTGTGCAATGAGACCCAGTGGTTCCATGAGAAGGGTCTGCAGGTCCCACAGCTTAGTGGTTTGCGATGCCTGTTTCTTTTTGTTGTTGTTTTGGAATTTTTAAAGGGTCCAGTGTCATAGTTCACACTGGCCTTGAGCTAACTATGTAACCCACGCTGGCCTTTAATTCGCAGCGATCTTCCTGCCTTTGCCTCTCAAGTGCTGGGACTATAGCGGTATGCCACCACGTTGTTTTTTTGTTTGCTATGTAACCCAGTCCAGTCTTGAACTCACAATCCCTCTGCCTCAGCATCCCAAGTGTTTGTATTACAGGTGTGCCCAACTTCCTGCTAGTTATTAGTAGCACTCCATCGATTCCACTTTAGACAAGAGGTTGTACAGTGATCCCTACCCAGGTGCCAAGTGTCGAGCCGGAACCTAACCAGTCTTGGGATACGAATGAGTATTTTGTGGGGCTAGGGATGGAACCCAGGCTCGGTTCACACTAGGCAGGAGGGGCTCCTCCACCGAGATACACCCTAGCTCAGGTGGTGAATCTTTTAGAGCTTTCAATGACAATAAACAGGCCCTGAGCCATGTGTTCCTTACACCACCACTGTCCTAGCTAATCAGCCTCGAAAACAACCTTCCAGCTGGGCGTGGTGGCACCTGTACTTCAGTACCCAGAAGGCTGAGGCAGGAAGATCAGTGTTGAGTTCAAAGCCAGCCAGGGCTACACAGTAAGTTCAAGGATACCCTGAACTACATAGTGAGACCCTATCTCAAAAAATAAACAAACCCAAGAAACCAAAAACAACAAAATGCCCAAAACCCAAACAAATCTTCCATTTCCAGAAAGAAGGGAGAGGCTATTTCCTAGATCCTAGAAACATTACCCATCACCCCCAGCGCAGAGTGCTTACGGGACTGTGGATTCCTCTGCAGGGGAAGCAGGTGGGAGCAGGGACCCGGACAAGCTGACAATCAAACATAACACGCGCTTCAAGTTGGCTAGTTTCTTTTAGACACCCAAACCTGCTCCTGGCCAGCCAGGAGATGGAGCATCCCATGCCTCCTCCTTGCTGCTCCCAGCCCCATCTGATGGAAAGACAAACTGTGGCCTAGGAGCCCTCACGGCTGTCAGTTCCCCTGCTGGGACATCTTACTTCTTCCTCAATTTCCTACATGCCACCTCCTTAATGAGGCTTTCAATGAAATTCTAACCCTCTCTCCAATTTAAAGCTCATTTCTAACTTTGTACATTGTACTTATCACAATCTGTCTGGTGCAACTTCCACCACTCTTTAGCTTATTGTCTGCTTCCCTCCATTAGAAACATGTTTTGCTTGTTTGTTTGTTTGGTTTTTGACAGGGTTTCACTATGTAGCTGAGACTGACCTAGAACTCACTATGTAATAACCCAGGCTGGTCTTGAACTCACAGCAATCCATCTTGCAAGCGCAAGGACCCAAGTTCGATCCCTGGTACAAAAAAAAAAAACCAAAAAACCCGGAACTCACAGTAATCCTGTCTCAGCCTCTGAGTGCTGGGATTACAGGCGTGCACCACCACGCCCGGCCTAGAAACATGTTTTGCATGTGCCTGCCAAGAAAAAGGTCGCTTTGGTTGCAGAGCACCCACAGTGGGAATGTGCAAATGGACAGCTATAGGACTCAAGAAAAGAACAAGAGGAAAGGAGCACATCATGAATCCAGAGTTGAAGTGGGCACATGGAAACATCCTTTCTGCCCAGGACCCCAGACAGGGTTACCTCGGGGACTGCTGCAGCAGGGACGGCACCAGGCATCACACCACCCATCGGCATGAGGCCGACATCCTGGATCTTCAACGTTTTCTGTGGGTATAGAGAAGTCTCAGTAGATGGCTATCAGACCCCACATGTACCGATGAAGGGACAAACCTGGCTTGGTCTACACAACCTGTAAGTCACAGCAGCCCCCATACTTCATGCCAGTCCCTGGTCTGTGCCAACCTCTCCCCATTACCTTCAAGAGTTCATTGAGGTCTGAGATCTCCAGGAGCGTGAGGCTGGCGATGTCCTGGACCAGCTGTTGGATCTTGGGAGGGTACTCTTTTGGAGCATTATCCAGGGGCGCGCTTGCGAGCACCTCACCCCTTTGGTGGCTGCTGCTCCTCAGCTGCCGCGCAGTACAGATACCGGGCACCTGTTGCCTGGTGCCCCAGAAATAGCCGTCAACCGTGCAAGGGAGAGGGGCTGCAGGGCCTAGGGAGTCCAAGCGCTCCGGTCCACCACCGCCAAGGCGGGAAACCACCTCATCCCTGGGGCCCAGCCAGGGCTTCCACGCTGCTCTATCGAATTCCTCGGAGACCCTCAGGAGCCCACATAATTACGTGTAGTAATCCTACCCCAAACCGCAGGTAGAGTGATCTCATTAATCCAGTATGCATTATGCATCAGGACACTTCCCAAAAGGGGGCCCCTCGGCCGCGCTGCCGCCTGCACGGGTGGGACTCTGTGGCGAGGAGCCACAGCCTGGGGCCTGGTGGGACCCGAATACCCAAGGTCGCCCAGGCCGAGTGGCCTTGCCCGCGTCTCGCGGGCCGGGCCCAGGAGGGTGGCCGCGTGTCCGCCACCGGCTCCGCT